GAGGACCACGTTGGAAAAGAATGTGCGCTGTCAATCTTAATTGTAGCAGCAACACTGACAATCTTACTAACTCCCATCTGGGCCTGGAGAGCACCATTGTCTCTGAGCGCCCTGCCCCACCCCACTGCAAGAGTTAGGGCTGGGCCTGTCACGGACAGCACAAAGGACATGTCACCACAACAGATATGGAGTGTTAGCCAATGGAGGTCTCTCTCCTCTTTTAATGTGTCACTATGCATCTCTGCAGGAGTGCAACTTTTAGCTGACAACTCTAGTGGGGTCATTCCTGGTTGGACACACCTCCAACCTCAACTCTTTGGCCCCTGCTGGCCAGCGTTGGCTTCTGTTGACCCTTGGTTTTGATGACAGTCTGGGTCTTTTGTGAAACATGGCTGTGGCCAGGTGAAGACAAGAGTGGATGACAATGGCAGGAAACATAAAGCTGATGAAGGCTGGGACACAACCCAAAGGGGTCATGGGTCAGACCGGACAGCTGAGTGATGAGTGCAGCTGTGGACGCGTGGACCTCCTTCCTTCTGCCTCCTGATGTCAGCTGACGTCGCCTTTGTCCCAGGATAAAGACCTCACTCACTCTCAACAAGTCGAAGAAAAGTAATAAACACATGGAACAGATGTACTACACCACAAATTCTGAGTATACAGCTATTAGAGTGACAACATAACCCTGGTCGGGGCGGGGTCACATGCTTTCCAAAGGAACAGACTCTCCTTTTTTAACAGTATATATAGCATTTCAGAACAAAAATAAATGATGTTTCCTGTCACTACATTATACAATGTGAACAAGCATGAACCCTTTTTCCTCCAATACGGAGTGCAATACTCATCCTACAAAGTTAGGATGCCTTTGTGCAGGATCTTTGGTGAAGGTGATGCTACATTGGCAGGTGGATTTTAGTACCCAATAACCACTTTTCTGTGGCGCTACACAGCTTAAAGAACTAAACTAATGCTTAATTATAACACAACTAATTATGTAACTTGAGACTGAGACTTCTTACTTGAATTCTTCCTTTTTCCTCAGACATAGGTTCCTCCTGGCCCCTGCACAGTCTTACTTCTTCTTCTTAATTTTAAACAGTAACACTGAGTACATTCAGTAGAACTATTGCCACCTATGGATATGCCAAAAAAAAAAAAATCCACCTACTACCGTGAAAAACTACAGAAGCGGACAGCTTCCATGATGGGGACTAGAAGAAAATAATTTGTTGTTGCTAATTAAAATGAGGGGAATAATTGAATGTCATTCTGTATTTTCTTTTTTAGGAAACTCCTGCATTCTCCAAACCTGTTACGCTGCCAAGTTAAAAAACGTACACTTTGTAAGTCCGATTGATTCTGGTGCCAAAGGTCAATGGCTGTGTTCTCTTTTTTGGCTCACACTGACAAAAAAAGCAATGGTCTTTGAAAAGTCAGTCACAAACCCTGCCTTGAGTCGTAAACACCACCGCCTGCCTCTCCTCCTTTTCTCATCCACCGAGGTGAGTTAGGTTTGCACTCTGTTAATCTTTCACTACAGGCTTCTTGCTTTAACACTGGCCTACTGGAGAACTGAAGAGCGATAAAAAAGAAGAGTAGTAAAGGACAGGCTTGGATAAAAGAGTAGGAAGAAAAAGGCATTCAGAAAGCCAGATGGGCACCTTCACAGTCCATTTATCAAACCCAATGTGGCCCTCCCCTCCTCTTCCTGCTGCTCTCATGTCCTAAACCCCCATGTAATTCTGTAATGATTTTCATTATCATATAATGACCTTACAAAGCCTACAGCAGTTTGTATAGTCGGTACAAAACTCACAGATGTTCCAATCAGAGTTTGCTCATCGGCTGTGACAAGGCTTTTTTAGCCTTTTCTCTTGGTCAGGAGCACTGACCTCTAGGCTGTGCGGGGTTAGCATAAGGTCACCTCATCCAGGAGGTTCAAAGGTGGCTCTAGTGTATGCATACAAATCCAGTGGCTATGATACAGTGGATTATGTTGTGCCCCCAACCACAAAGATCCTGCTTCCAGTTTTGCCTTTCTGTGTTGATTCATGTGTTCAATGAAAATGGTTTCCACAATATGATTGTTGATTAAATAGAATGTTTAAACCAAAGATTTTAAATGAATGTCATTTCCTGATTGTGCCTTACTTTTTATTTGTGCATTTCCTCTGTTGCATACTCAGCCTCCCTACCGTGGAATTGTTGTGCACATAATAATCCATCTATTTCCAGCATACTCACGGGGCATTTACCAAAGGGACACAGAAGGGCAGCATCTATCATAGAATTCACCATGTGCATCGGCAAAACCCAGTTACCAGAAAAGCTCATAAGAATAAAAAAGCCTTCATAACTTTGTTGGCTCATGTGAATGAATGAATGGAGTGCCTCGGCTCGTAGGGCGAGCCGCAGCATCACTCACTCTAAGTGCCTATATGTCACTGGCAAAGAACCACTGGTCACCAGGGCTAATTCTTCTTTTTTTGCTTTTGCAAAAAGAAAACAAAAATAATATACTATATACTGTATATATATATATATATATTTATATATATATATATATATAAATATATATATATATATATAAATATATATATATATATATATTTATATATATATATATATATTTATATATATATATATATATATAAATATATATATATATATATATTTATATATATATATATATATATTTATATATATATATATATATACCAAGAAGGGGAGGCAGCAAGCTGGTGTTGCAGCACAGGGAGTGCTGCTTTAACTGGTGTTTAAGAAACAAAAGTCAGCCAGAAACTTAATCAATCAATGCCGGTTGTTTATGTTTATGCGCCTCTCGCTAAAGTCATCAATCATGCTTTTTCTGCTCCTTTTTCATCCTTTTGCGCGAGCATTATGTGCTGAATTGAAACCATGGAAACAAAGGGAGTATTATGATAAAAGCTTGCCTGTTGCATATTGTGTGGAAACCTAATTAGAACGCCCAGCGTGGGGGGAAAATCAGCTAAATGAATCAGCAAATTAATTACAGAAGTCCTATTTTGGTGTGCACCTTATTGAAAATAAAGAAAGTTCTGAACACATCTGACAGCAATGAAATAAATTCTCTTTACAGTGTGTCTGATCCTGTAATATACTGTATCTTTAATTTTAAAAATGCCACAGTCTATGAGGACACACATAAAGAAACTTTTTTTTTTTTTTGCTTCATATCAGCAGACGCAGTTCCCTAATCTGCAGGAGTTCGGCCCACTTAACATTGCACACAGCAATGTGTTTTGTTTTGTATTAATGCTATCTGCTGACAGCCACTTGACAGTGTAACCTCTGGCTTTTTGTAAGTGGGGTAGTTAGGGTGAGGGGCAGACGTTTAATGTGTGTAACCCTTAACACACATTATATGTGTGTAAAGAAGGCATTAGGAGCAGCTGGAGTTCAAACACATTGTGTGGGGCGCTCGCCCTGGACTCAGACTAATCTAATCAGTCTTTCACTGCTGATAGATTAAACGTCTGTCTGCCCCAAAGATGAGGACGGAGCACTTCCTGGTCTGCTCTGTGATAATGTTAGACATGTTAGTCCACGTTAACACTGCATGGTGGATGGGTGGGTGTGAGGTTGTACCGAGCCGGTGGTGGGACAGTGGTTATGTTGAGTTTGGGCTGAAGAGTGATGATACGGTTCCTAGCTTTCAGCACCTGCAACAGGAATGCGCTATCAACGCAGGCCCTACATCTGAGTTGTGAGGCAGGGGGCGTCAACACAGCAAAGAAAGGTGTGTGGAAACAGGCTGTTTACAAGGCTCATCTGGACAGGGCAGAGCTGAGGGTCAACTGGAGGGGACAGCTCCAAAACAGAGGGCTGGTGTGGAAAGACGAGGGAGGCAACACCGCAAATCTTCCAAAAGAAGACATGTTGTTTTCAGTTAGAACTGGTCTGTGGATTCTGCCTCTGGCCATTTTGCTTTTTCTTGGATCTGGTCTGCTTCAACGTGTGTGTCGGTGTGTTTGTGTGTGCCTGTCTGTGTGTGTGTGACACAGAGGTCAAATGTGTTGATAGAGACAATAAGCAGGAAAACGTATGCAACTCTAGTGCACACATGCCTACCTGTGTTTGTGTGTGCTTACCAGTGCGGTGTTGGGGAGAATGAGCAGCTAAAGAAACACTGCGTGTGTGTGTGTGTGTGTGTGTGTGTCAGTGTGGGAGGCCTCTCTTTATCAGAATGAATGGCTGCTGGTCTAAACCCTCTGCTCTCTGTCCTTATCTAGAAGGAAGGAAGTGACTGAGCTTATCCAAGACACACGTGTCGTTGTGATAGCTGTGATAGCTGTGATAGCTGCCAGGCCCAAGGACCAAGAACAACAGCAACAACTCCACGGCATATCTAGGGAATTCACATCTGCTCCAAGTGGGGAGTCATCCTCCAGCAAACTGAATGAAAGAACTAATGTGTCTATCTCTGATCACAGCATTCCTTTATGTCATCACAAAAATACTTTAAATCCATGTTGTCATGTATTACTGAACGTATAGTAAGTAGGTGAAAAACACTTCAAGGAAGAAGGAAGTACAAATCAGATGGGAGATTTGTTTGAAGTTGGGTTTTTAAAGCAAAGCTTTTTCATGAATTTCTGCAACTGCGAAGAAACTACTATCTGATAACATTTACAGGAAGTACTGGCAGATCATTCACCATTCATTAGGCAGCTTCTTTGTAAGACAAACATATATTTCTATTACTAAAGCAGAGCCAGAAAAACAGGAAATGGTCGGTATGGTTGCTGTTTTGGAGACACTTCTGAATAACGCAACATTTGATAATCGAGTGCGTACAGACAACAGATATTACTGTTAATTATTATTGTATATTGATATTGGTGAGAACAGTTTTAAAATGCAATGGTTATAAATGTTAACTTTTATTAAGAGAGATTGTGTAAATACTTCAATATGTGTGAAACAGTTGAACATCTTTCGTGCGCGTGTGTTACCTGTCTCTCCAGGTCTGCCTCTGCTGGTGTCTGTCTGTCAGTGCAGACAGCAGAGTTTCCGCCATCTCTCTGCGTCCCTCTGCTGCTCTGCCTTCCTCCACCGTTTTCAGGAACAGCATGGTCTGAAAAAGAGAAGCGGAAGAAAACATGCATCTCTTTTGACTGAATTAATGGGCATGTTAATGACACTGCCACCTGGACTACAACTGCCATTTCATTTGCAATACAATAGGAAACATACCGTAGCTAAAACGCAGGTGGATGTTTCACCTCCCGTCACATACTTTGAGTGTGACACATAATTACCTGGCTCTATTACATCTTCTTTTGAATATTAAACCAATTGAAACTGAGCGGAGAGACTACCTGAGGCGACTCCTTCCACCCTTGAGCTTCTATCATTAGTTTAGAAATTACACAGCTCTGAGCAAAGACTCCATTAGAAGTGCTGACATACAGTAAGTCTAGTATAAAGTCAGTTTCACATCAGAGGATGGGCAAATTACATCCAATATTAAAGTGTGAGTCAATTAATCACGTCCTGCACAGCAGAGTGTAATGTGTGAGTATCCCCCTGTTGAACATGAATTACAGGCCAGCTTAAAGTGTGACGTGGCACATCACTGCTAATCTGAGACATCCTCCAGAACCTTCACTTCCGAGTCCTTATGCAGCCTATAAGCTGGTTGAGAGGGAGTCAAATGAAAAGGGATCTGGCAGTCTAAATTAAATGCAGCACTGTCAGCCATATTCAAATCCCCCTTTCCCCTTTTCTTCTCTACCCTTCACAAATTCTCTCCCTCTCTGAATATCCTTAAATGCACCCCCCCTTCTCTCCCACCCTCTGAGAAGTGATGGATCTGTAACTCTGACTGACTCTGACGCCTTGTTAGGAACAGTCTCTCGCTGTCACATCCTTCCGTCAAGCACGTTTATTTCTTCCCATTAACAGTCACTCACCTCCCCAGTCATCCCACCCTCTTTTCAAAAACCCACAATGTAAAGGAACCTTCATCTCTTCTCCTCTGCCTCGGTTTTAATCCCTTTCTGACAATCCACCTGTCTGTCTTAATTCATGTGAAGATGGCTTTGACGGCCTGTGTGTGTGTGTGTGTACACACTTCTCCAAAGGAGCGGTATGATTTGCCAGAAGAGTAATATGCTTACTTCCTCCACACCACACAGGACAGGTGTCAAAACATATGGCAGTGTGTGACTGATAACACCTGACTCTGAGGAGACACCACAGATTACAGTGACCAGGAGGAAGCAGGGTCGGCTGCCTGCCTATGGAGCCTGTACCATTCGGTTTGCATCAAACCCCACCCTCTAGGAACAGACTAAGAAAGTGCCAGAAAGTGCGTTCACACTGTATCACCATCTCAACCGGCAGACATCACACTGTCACACTGCAGCCGTACCACAGTGTCTTGTGTTCAGGCACAACACTGAAGCGTGAGGGATTCACAGTTCGTCTGAAACCTAGGATTCTGAGCCCCTCTCCTCCGTTCTTTCAGTGTCAGTCCTCAGAGCGAAACAAGTGGCATGACAGAAAAAAAAAAGATAAAATATCTTAACTGCAGCCAGGGAAAATCATTAATTTTAAAACAAATACTGGATCTAGAATAGCAGTTTCAGCTTCAGCACTATCGCTGACTCCAAAAAGCCCCATCAACATTTATTCATTAAGTACCAGATTTGTTTCATGCAGTATCCTAGTGGCAAATGTCATGTTATAATATATATTTTTAGACAACTCATATTTTTAGGCAACTCAGATGTTTATATATATATATATATATATATATGTGTGTGTGTGTGTGTGTGTGTGTATTTATATATATATATATGGTCATGTAACAATGGCTCAATTATTATCCAGAAACATTTACTAACAATGATCAGCTATTTTTTTTAGAAAAACGAAATTATATTGAAGCTGCAAAAATAGATCCCATCTTACTAAAATGCTGATGTCTGTTTATACCAACCATGAAACACAGGAGGCCAGGTTGTGCTTTTCAGAGTTAGTTTGTGCCACTCATTCTACAAACATGTGTTACCACACCACATGTAGAAAGATGCAGGTTTAGCCCCAAGCTGGTTCCTGGCCAGGTCAGACAACATACTGGTTGTTCTCTGGTCAGTCTTCTGTCAGCGACAACCAGACCACGACCCTTTGTCCCGGGACTAATCTGCGTCTTCTTTCCTCCTATTTACCTCTTGACGACAGCAGCTGTCTTCAGTGTCCGACCTCTTTGGCCCTGATGCTGACCACTGATGTGCCCTGACCCAGGCCAGAACCCCAAAGTGAACAAAAGTAGAACCCTAAACGTCCTCAGTGTGGGTCTCTAAGCCAACTGGTCTATTTTACTACAGATGGGCATAAACATTTCTTTCTCTCTGCAGACGCGGCGTTGGTAAACAAACACAAAGCCAGGCTGAGTTGTTGGAGAGTTGGAGTGATGATAGTGTTCCAAAGGTTGGCTGGCTGCAGGGCAGCCTGGGGCGGCTCACTAACACCTCAAGCCAGGACTGTATCTTAACAACAACAAGCATCTGTCTATTCTTTCACATAACAACATGTCACTCATTCAGGACTGTTGCACTACATACTGCAAACTTCGTGTAATAGGTGCCTCAGCTAACATAATGGCTAAGTAGCAAGAGCTCAAAGGGAGGGGAAAAAAATTGATGGGTTATAGACGATAACCCACAGCTTGGAGACACTATCAGCTAACATGATGTGTCTTCAGACCGGAACTTTCCAGAGTCTTTTAAAGTAGTTTTTAAACCTGTTCTTGATATGGTTCTTGACCAGTGGGAATCAGATTAATGGACACTGAGATTGAGATCACAGTCAGAATTTGAAAACATTCAAATGTTCCATTGTTCTGAAGTGACTTCAAACCAAAACGGCAAACTTTAAACTCCTGCTACATACTAAGTCTTCTAAATTAGTTTCTTCAATGTGTTCATTGAAAATTCTCTGGGTTGAAGTAAGTTCTTCAATTAGTATAAGTCATAATACAATTTCAATTAAAGAACCAACCAGTCATATGTCTATTTTTAATTTCAATAGGCTTGCCGTTACATAATAAAAAGGAAACACAAAGTCCAAAGACATACAGTCTAAATATGTAATAATTCTACCTTTACAACTTAAATAAATCATTGTAGTCCTTGTAGATCTGTAGAAGTTCATATGTTTTTTTTTTATTCCTGGAGTCTCCTTATTTGTGTTGACGTGTTCTCGCGATCTCTGTGTTGATGGAAACCCCAGCCTTTCTGCCTGGTTGACCGTCGCAAGGTTACAGGCACCATCAATTATGTCAGCCAGTAAAATGGGCTTCGCTACGCACACCAGATTATATGGAGTGTAAAACATTAGAAAAATGTGTCTGAAACATCAGAGTAACATGTTTTAGGTGACAAAGGCTTCAGGGGTGGAGAGGAACCTCCCAAAAAGGGAAGACCCTGACAAGTGATTTTGTTTGAAGGCATTGTATCGCACACAAGTGGGCAGGGATTCTTTGTATGGCCCCAACGGCTGTCCATCTTCTGGGTAGAATACAAGCAGGGTGGAAGGACATATGCTTTCCACAGGGTCAAATGAAGCAGAACTCTCAAGCCTTTGTGTCGATCCCTTTTGGTGGCAAAGTAGAAAAGGGAAATCTGTTGAAGGGTCGCAGTTCGCTGGGCCCACAACTATCACATAAAAATTCACTGGTCTGTTTTTCGCAAAGGCCTTTGTCTGCCTCTCATGATAAGGAGCACAGATCCAGTTCGCCCAGATGACGAAACCACAAAGTTCTTGCTCTGAATGAGAGGGGACAGGACACACACACAAACTCCTCACTGGCCTGGCAAAAATGCATCATCAATCTATCAGGAGAAAGGCCCAGAGAGGTGCTTTGACTAATTCAGGACAATGAAGACAGAGCTGGACAGAGATGTTTACGACGAGCGTGACACCGCAGCACCATCCACTCTGTTAAAACTCCCTTTCTGTGCTTGACTATATGAAAGCTGAGTCGAGATTCCAGCTTGATAACAGATTGTGATCAGCACCTCGCTCTCCTGCCAGTAAAAAGCTTTTTGCTGACTGGGGCCGAAGCCAACCCGGGAGTTATACATCGTTACGCACACCACACCGTACTTAAGCTCTTCAAAAAATGCTAAACCAATAAAAAGGGTTTCCATCCATCTCGGCAGGCACACATAAAGCAGTTTTGTTTTTTCAGCGGCTGAAATGTACTACTTACAAAGTTTTGATTGACTACAAAAAGTTTAAAAGGTAGTTATTCTCTTCAGTGTATTTGGATGAAGGACGTCATAGTGAAACTATACGAGCTGTTGTGTGTCCAGTCTGACATCAGCTGCGAATTACATATAGACGGAGCTTTTGGAGCACAGATTAAGATCTCTGTAACCTTGGGCTTCCCACCATAAAAATGCCGGAGACTTGAGTGAAGCCCATAATGTCTGTATGAAGTACTATTGACAGACAAATGCTCAGATGACGGATAAACACAGGCTAACATTACAGTTCGTGTTTTTTTTACACTATCATTGACAATTGTTATGTGTTCATAAAAGATACAATATGGAAATCTGAATAATTTAAATTAAACTAAAAGTATATCTACATTACTACCTTGTGTGTTTAATAATCACTGGCTACAGTGGCATTAGGAATAAGAAATATACCTGTAGAAAAAACGGTTTATGTAATTTTAGTCACTTTTATTTTTTTTTAATTTTATACTAGTTTTACATTAACACAATCCCTTAGTGTTGCTGCCAGTCATTGACCATAAACTTTACAGTTGTTTTTACAGTGTATCGTACATTTTAAAAATGCTACTGGGAGTAATAATAGTAGTAGTAGTAAGTAGCAGTGATAGTACTATTAAGTAACCATTGCATTTTCTCACATCCACCTGGTCTACCTGGACCCACTGTGTTATATATACTGAATATACAGTAGGTGTATGTGTGATCCCCCCCACCCCGAGAGGCTTTTGAGAGCAGATAAAAGGTGTTTATGAGACTGTTAGTCGGGGGAGGATGCCACCCCGCGGCTCATGCCCGAATAAAAGAGCAATTTATTACATCCAAC